GGTCCACAGGATTGGCCACAAGCAGACTGCACTGATTGGCCGAGAAACTGCATAAGAAACAGCAGGAGAGGTCGGCAGACGCCTAAAGCTTGCAGGCAGGTGCAAGAGTGAGTCAGGTTCAGAGCACATGTCTAGAGGACTACAAGCACCAGCACAGCCCTGCAGAACCAGGGGTAAAAGATATGTATATACTTGTAGAACTACAAGTAACAGCTCAGCTGCAAGTCTGCAGCTGAACTGTGACATTGCCACATTTGAGATGAGTTAGTGATATTGATAGTGTTATTATTATGTCTTGTAATTACTATCTGTTGCTTTGTTCTCACATGGTAAAATGCCTAGGGTATATATTAGCAGTGAACTTGTTCTGCTCATTGTTATATAACTATTTTCGTTGTAGAAGGCAGGTGTACCGTTTTCCTCTTAATCCGTTCCAGTTCAGCGGCATATACAGTAATTTGCCTACAGCACCTTTCTTCTACAATGCTAGCTCTCAAAGTAACTTAAATGGCTACATGATTCAACATAATTCTAGAAAAAAAACATCTTTCCCTACTCTACTCCTGCATTAGCACATAAAGGTCTTCACAGAGGCACATGCCACCACTAGAGCTTTCTTTTAACTAGCTGCTTCCCTCTGTAAGATTTGTTGTCAATGTGATGATGAGCAGACAAAGAACAGTTTTAGGAAGTGGGGAATCTTTAATTTGCATATTGTTTTATCTCCTTAATCCTTAACAAAAAACTATTTAAGGACAGGAGCAGGATTTGGAAAGCTAGAATTCCAGCACCAACATTCATCAATATATTAAACCTGAACTCCAGTCAAACAGCTAAATACACAGATATAAACATATGTGAGAGCTGTTTTATTTGCCAATTAATCTGTATTTTTGTCCATTCAGTCTGGAGATTCATACAGCCCTGCCAAACAGCACAGTCTGCTTAGAGGCCTGATTTTCCTCCTGCTGCTGTTAAAGTGCATGTCAAGCGAATATGTTTTATAGTTTTGGATAGAATGAGTAAGGGCTAGAAACCATATCAGGATTTTGCTGCTATCTGGGGCTCCAATAAAAAGGTTTCCCCTCACTTTTTGTCCTGCTAAAATGAGGGAGCTCTCCAACAGCAACACATTAAACAAAAATAAGAAGAGATGGGGAATCCTAGACCTACTGCCAGGTTTCTATTTATGTTTGTGTCAGTGTTGCAAATTTTCCCTTACATAATGTCTGGTGAAACCAATGTGAGCAGGACAGGAAATGAGGGTGGATCTCTCTAACCAGATAGTGGTAAAACCTTGACAGGAGTTCTAATCTTCCCCACTGTATCCAAAACTAGAAACAAACTGTTTGACATACACCTTAAAGTAGTATATAAGTCTCAAACTTTATTTTTTCCCATTTATGAAAATCAGATTAAACAAATATAGTCTACCCAGCAAATAGCTGATCACAGCTAGAGGGGAGCAGTAAACAGGAAGGAGGGGCATGGATTGCCTTACTGTGCCTGTGTGTTTGTAAACAAAGCAAATGGCAACCACATAAATCAATGTATAACTAGCTTTTAAAGCAAGGTGCACATGGAGGAGCTTTACACGGTACAAACACAAAAATTCCCAGTATACCATCCAGCCTGAAACTGTCTATTAGCATTAAAACATAGGTTTTAGTTGCACAACTTAAGGGGAAATTGCCTACTTCCTGGAGTACCTGCACTCAGTTTGTCCTTTGCTATATATGATCCAAGATGGAGGCTCTCGTAGATTAGAATTTGGGCCACACTACACAGAGGGGTCTTGACGTGGCAGTGCGGCTTCCATATATTTAGCAAAAGTTGTGCAAATAAAACCTCTGTTTTTAACGCTAATAGTTAGACAGTGTATTTTCTTTATTTTGCAGTCTAGCGGTAAAATGTTTGTTCTTGTGGTTTGTAAACACATGCAGCCTTTTAGCACACACAAGGGGGGATCCGTAGGACCCTACAAGTAAAAGGAGCCACCCTAAAACAGGATATCAGGGCCAGTGCTCAGGGGACCAGCTGATTATTCAGAACGCTAAAACATTTACACATCAAGGAGCAGCATCCATTGTAAGTGATTTCATCAGCATTTAAAAAAGCTTAAAACCCTTTTGACTTTAATATGACTTTAGCTACAATAGGTGTTTTTATTGAACACATGCCTGCATGTATTGGTGTTTTTATAATAGATTTTATTTCAACTACACATAGTAAGCATTACATCTGTGCACTGTAAACATGTAAACTTTCAAGTCCTTGTATTGAACAAGATAAAAAAAGTATTGATGCCTTTCTAGAAACAACATTTTTTTTATTTCCTCTTCTTGCTTTTCACTGATTCATTCTCAAAGGGGGATTATGGTCACTTGTAATTCACTTCAGTAGTCTGATGGTAATTGGTGTATTTTGATGATTTTCAGAATAGTCTTCAGGTTTGTAATTTCCTTTTAATAATGGCAAGTCAATTTTAAAAAGTACAGGGACCCATGCTAAACCTTCAAAAACACAATGTCATAGGTCTGCAGTGCATATTCTAAATGTCTGGAAGCTAAAATCAATTTATTTTCCCGTTATGATTCTGTGTCTATAGCTTTCTTTATTTTCAGTATTTATATACTGTATAATTGTATCTCTTGTGTAAAAATGCTAGCACTTTTATACATTTTTTAGATATTCAATGTAGCATCCTGTTTCATTTCACCATGGACAAAGAAATAGATGCAAAGCGGTATTATTCTTCCATGAAATGAAAATGCATTGCTCCTTTTTATTCTCCAAGCTTTTACAAGAGAATTTTTATTGTTTCTGTTTATTTGCTGGGGGAGAATAAGCACTGCAGATCTGCAATTAAAGAACCTTGGAAGAAAAATGTTATGGTATACGTAGTTCTAGGGGATGTTTGTTTTAATTGCTGTGAATCTTGAAAAGATATGAATACAGCCATGGCTAGTACTATTAAACACTGTGTAAAGATATAGACTACCTTACCTGATTTTATAAGGATTCTGTGGCAGCAGGCTGAAAAAAACGCCTGGGTCTAGCCAGAATGGCAGAGATGTATATGCCAGGTTCACGTGTTATACTAAAGGTTGTCCTCTAGGGTGAAGTGCAGAGAGGGCTGGAGGCTTGGAGGTAACAAGCCCAGCTGGAGCTAGCTGGCTTGTTAACCTCCCTGGCGGTATGATTTTTAATTTTTTTTCATGTCATTTTTCGGTCAATTTTTTTTCGCTTTTTTTTCGTCTTTGTAATTTTTTTTAATATCCCGCTCCCCTGCAACGTGTACACTCGCAAGCGACGGAACCCGGAAAAAGGAAGCCGGCATCGGCTGCAGAACACTAATTCTCCTGTATTTCTTTGTGGAAGGTGTATGTGTGGGAAGTGTGCTGTTCCTGACTACTGCAGAGAACAGCTGTTCTCTGTTGCTTTCTCCTTTGATTCCAGGGCACCTTAATGACGCACCCCAGGGGGCATGCCCTTGATGACCTTGGCTCACAGGAAGTGGGTTGAATGACACTTGGAGACATTCAAGTCAGAAGAAGACCTGCATTGTCTCTTGGTATGGTGGTATGTCTGCAGGTGGCAGCACTGGATGAATATTTTTTATCCATGAGAAAATTACCTTTTTCACACGGTGATCTGGAGGGGACCCATGCATGGATCCTCTGTTGATTAGAATGGATGTCACCATTGTGTAATCCGTGTCTGTCCACTTGTTTCCTGCATCTTACGATTACCCCCAATCTTGCACAATCAGGTCCGCCAAAATGGAACTCTGATCTGTTTGTTTTGCCAGACCTGGCCAGAACTGGGGATTACCACATGTAAATGTATGCCCGTCCATTTAGGTCTGGCTATTGTGGCAGCAGGCAGGTGGGGATGTCTGTGTTCAGATGTACTAATGAAGTTCTTCCTCTAGGGGGAAGTGCTGAGAGGGCTGGAGGCTCGGAGGTAACAAGCCCAGCTAAAGCTAGCTGGCTTGTTAGGGCCTCTACAAGAAGTCCCAGCCTCCTAAGAGAAGGCCCCACCCTAGAACCAGACTGTGTGTCTGGTGGACTGGGGAGCAGACAGTGTGTGTGGCGATCCGCCTGTGTGGCGATCCGCCTGTGTGGCCAGTGGACGTTTTAGTTAAAGGACCAACTTGAAGTCGGTGAGACTGAAAACTGTTGTTGTTGTGACAGAAAACAGTTCTTTATGTGTGAAAACCCCTGCGAGGGAACACCTGTATGGAGTTTTCTTTTGAATTGAGCGTTAATAAAAGTGGGCAAAGAAGCCCTTTTATAAAGTGAAAAGTGAGTGGTACTGAATGTGCTACCATTTGATGCAAATCCACACACTATCCATAGACTAACAATGTGCTTCCAATTCAGGTCCGCCTGAAAAACTGACAGATGGGTCTGATTGAAAAGCCCATGTGAAAGGGCCCTAAAAGGAAACCACTTCAGCTAGAAAACATATAATTGTCGATGCCCCAGTGTCAAGTGTGTACCGTGCATTAAATGTTTGTTTTTACAATACAAATTAGATATAAATGGTAAAAAAAATATTATGCATAGGTTAGAAATCATATAAACCCCCAAAAAAGTAGAATTGACTTATAACCATTGTAGTTTTCCTTTAGAGGTCCTTCTAGAGCAAATACAAACCAGCACATTATGTCACTGATTGTACATGCTTTACATTTTTTGATCTGGGAATTCAGTTTGTAGTTGTACAGTCCTGGGGGAAAAGAGATGTAATTGGTCTGCCAATAGGACCAAAAAACAGCACAAGTTCCTCAGACAGATATGGTGTGGTGCTGTTATTCCAATCCAATAAATACATATTCCAGCGTGTTGCATTTGTGCAAAGAAATACATTTCCTTTATCAGTTTGATGGGACCCTGGTGGCAGTGATAATGTAAAATCTGACTATTCCTAAAATGTGTGAGGACAACCTGGGCTTCTTTGGTTGCTTTAACATCTTCTTTTCTCTCTCTCTCTAGGATGTGTTAAACAATTTGGGGTCCTGTGAATTGGATGAAGATGATCTTATGCTTGACCTGGAGTTTACAGAAGAACAGCAGCTTCGAAAAGGTAAGCAGAATTGAGCAGTGTTTCTTAGTTATACAGTGCTATGGCATACTTTGTAAATTTCTATTAGTGACTACTGTATATTATATGGTTTTCTTATGTATAGATTTCATCTTAACGTTCTGTTGGGAATAATGATTAGTGTTTTTTTAGCCAACATATAGTTTAAAGGAAAACTGAAGTAATGAGCAACATTTGCAATATACATCATGTCACCACAGGGTCACTTATAAATAATAGGACTGACCTTTCTGCCAGTCCATGCCCTAAAATTATACAGATGTTGCAGGTATGGATGGGTTAAAAACCTTTTTGCACATACCTGTTCCTCCCACTGGTTTGTATGTGTTGTAATAACTTATAACAGGTCATGTCACTTTAACAATAAATTTGAGAGCCACTTTATAGATAAGACGTTCTTGTGCATACTTAAACTAAACTTGCGCAGGGAAAAACAAGTGTATTTTAATGCTGCCCATCCAAGTTGCACATACAGTACACCCCATCTCTTTGCATGTCTGCAGCTCAGTTTGTCCACCAGCAGAATATAAAAAAACAAAAAAAACATTAGGTTGGAAATCACAGCTTGGAACTTACAGAACTCAGAGCATCTAAGTGACAGCACTCAGTGCCTGGGCAGCCAATCATCAAGCACCAGCATTGGCTTATGGAATGCAGTGAAAGTGGTGTTGATTTGCTAAAGGCAAATAGGCTGTTCATTTAGCAAAGGGAATTTTCCCTTAGCTTAGTGAGTGAGGTAAAGCTCTGCTGACTTCCATCATCCAATCACGTAATAACAAAAATTCCTTGCACATAATTGGGTAATAATTTTCTGCAAAGTGAATTTTCACAGCATTTGCTAAGCTGAGGGAAAATGATCATGCAAAGGGAAACATGTTCTTTGAAAAGTGAACATTAGACATGTTTAGCCCAAAATTTGTTTTTTCAGATTAATTTTCAGAAATTCATACATTCGGATGCATCCAAATTTCCAAATGACAGAAATAACGAATGCAAACAAATATGAATTTCCCAAAACAAAACTTTCGGATGAATCCCAATTTCTATCTCAGATGACGTTTTATCAAGATTTATTTGTGGGGTCCCCAACTCCAAATTTCACAAGTCAGAGAAGTAACGGGGGTCTAATGCATGGTCTTTCCTTGTTTTCAGCATGTCATAGTTTACCATGTCTAAATTAGGGGAAAAAAAGTTTTGTTTCTAAAAACCATTAAGAGAGTTCTATCTAGTGCTTTCCGTCTGTAGGCACAGAAATAGCAGGAATTCCACTAATTTCCAATTATCTGAAAGGTGAGTGGCACAGCCAATAAATTATTCTGGGTGTCTGGTTTAGGAGATTGGTTCATTTGCATATTAGCTGTCCTGCCAGCTTAAAAAATGTCAATAGAATTGATTTACAGATCTAAACAACTCTGCCATAAGAAACTATAAAACATTTAGGCTGTTTTTAAAGACACCATTTGTTTGCTTCTCTCTGCATTTTTATTATCAACATATTTTTACTGTTAAGTTAACCTGAAAACTGAGTCTACTAATTTACTTATTTTAAAGACTGCTCTGATTTTATGTAATTGTCCAATGGTCATGTGATTATTTATAGATGTAGTATCAAGACCTGTTTTAATCTGTGACGGCATTCTATAAGAGCTAAATCCAGAAATAGCTGCACTCCAAGGTTCTTCACGGAAAGTAAAATTTTATTTATAGAGAAATAGTTTCTCCCCATGTATGCTCCACCTTGAACGTGTTTCACCATTGCGGCTTACTCATAGAGAGCATCCTATAACGTTTTCTGGTCTGTTCGCCAGCACTGTATTTTTCCATTTTTTAATAACCCTTATTCCTCTTTTACAAGTTTACAAGAAAAAATCTATACATGTCTTTTCTAAAATTACAAATACAATTGGAAAATAAATTATATATATGATTTTGTCTGTGAAAGGACAGAGAGGACTGCAGGCCTGTCAATTGCAGCAAATCCCCTGATCAGTTGCTCAGTTGCTGCAGTGTCCAGGCATGACAATCATAGTCCTTTCCCAAGGATGAGATTCTTCCAACTGCTATTTTGCTCAAATTATTTAAGTACTGGTGTCGCCTTTCACATCCCTCCCACTAAATGTAGGGATTGCATTTGAGTGATATTATAAAATGTCTACTCTATATCTTTCTAAAAAATCCTTCAGGGGGCTGTATAATACCTAAAACAACTTGTATTCTTGAATGACCCCATGTAACACAGATTAAAGGCCAACTAAAGCCAGACATGTCGGTTTGCTGTAGATACCAGTAGTTGAAAACATCCTATTAATGTTGAAACATTTTCTCAGAAGTTGGTCTCTCTGGCATTATGTTTAGTTTTTCTGGAATATTGAATGTTCATTCTATAGCAAGGTCATTCCCGGGGAAGTGTCTCCTTTCTGAAGGGAAAAAACAAAACGTTTATTTAGTTCAGTATAAGCTTGGTTCCAAACCTACGCTTTGCTCATGCATGGCAAAGCAACATGTTCATGTTAATGGTGGCCCCACCAGCAGCACATGCTCACTCCCCCTAGACTGCCCAACAATCCATTTTAAATGAGTCTAAAGTAGACACAGTGCAGTTGGTTTTCTAAGGGTAAATAAGTTGTTCACTTTGCAAGAGAATAAACTCAGTGAATGAGGCTCACCTGACTTCCTTCTTCCAATCATGTGCTAACAAAAAACATGTTTTCCTTGCACTTGATTGGATACTTCCTGCCGCCTAAGGTGCAGCCTCAACCAGCGGCTTCCGTGCTGGTGGTGGTGGGGGGCTCCGGGCTAGGGATACTCTCACTTGTGAAAATGACCTGATACTTAAAGCTGATATCGGGTATCTCGCAGTGCCTGTTCACACATCTCCTCCTTCCTGGGGTCCTAAGACCCCACACAGCCCTGGTGAGACCCCACACAGCCTCCTCAGTCCCCACACAGCCTCCTCAGTCCCTGCACAGCCCTGGTGAGACCGCACACTGCCCTGGGAAGACCTTGCACTACACATCTCCTCCTTCCTGGAGTCCTAAGACCCTGCACAGGCCTGGTGAGACCCTGCACAGCCTCCTGAGACCCCGCACAGCCCTGGTGAGACCCCACACAGCCTCCTCAGTCCCCACACAGCCTCCTCAGTCCCCGCACTGCCCTTGTGAGACCCTGCACTGCCCTTGTGAGACCCTGCACTGCCCTGGTGAGACCCCCGCACAGCCTTCTCAGACCCTGCAGAGCCCTGGTGAGACCCTGCAGAACCCTGGTGATACCCTGCTGAGACCTTGTATAGCCCTGGTGAGAGCCCACACTGCCTCCTGAGACCCCACACTGCCTCCTGAGACCTTGCACAGCCCTACTGAGATCCTCCACTGGGGACATCAGGCTGACATGTAACTTCTTATTATTCTGCATTGCTGTATAATATACTGCTGATATTTGTAATCCTCTATAGGCAGTTGCCATTCGGCATTGCTATATAGTGTATTGCTGGGATCTGTAGTGCTCTATAGCCGGTTGGCCTTCGATATTGGTGTATAATGTATTGCTGGGATTTGTAGTCGTCTAAAGCCGATGTTATTATTCTGCATTGCTTTATAATATATGGCTGGATTTGTAGTCCCTGTACAACTTGGAATCAGTAACAGAACTACCAGGTTTGCAGTGGTTGCAGCTACGGCCAGGCCCTGGCACTTCACCACTGTCCTAAAATCAATACTCTGTATTGTTTTAGAAAAACTATCACATGACACAAAAAAAAGGTATCAGTAATTGGTATTGTTGACTACTTGAGGAAAAGTATCGGTACTCGTACTCGGTCTGGAAAAAATGGTATTGGTGAATCGGCAATTTTTTTTTGGTTGCTGTGGGGGCCGTTCAGTGATGTCACAGCACTGCTGTATGTCTGCCAGCTTCCCCATCCTCTGTATTTGCCCCCATATTATATTATATATACTGCCTGCATTATAAATGGGCCATATATAGAATGCAGGCAGTATATAGGACACACTGCTGGATCACCCCTGAATCTCCTTTCCATACACAGTGTATGATAGGGGCGCTTAGCAAGTGTGTGTTCTTCTGCTCTGTCACCTGCACACTGTGTGGCTGGGCCTGGGATGGTCTCCACCGCTAGAATTGCTCAAGAGAGGGTGAGTGAGTCAGACTGAAAAATCATCCGACATCATCAGAGGATGAAGAGCAAACAGTTTGCATAGGACCCCAAAGACTGCAGATGGTGTGTGTGCTGGGTACGTGGCCTGGTGATAGATGTTAATAGGTGACACATTATTGGGGTACCGTCAGGTGTCAGCTCACCATGACCGGACACTTGCATGTACCCCAATAATGTGTAAACCCCCCACACTCTGACACTCTGTGCTGCTCAATAATATGTTACCCCTCTCCTGCACCCTGACACTCTGCTGCCCAATAACATTTAATTGTTAATTCATAAACGGTTAACATAAATTAAGAATTGATTCAAATAATTTGGATACAGGCATTTTGTGTGCAGCACAGAGTGTCAGAATGCAGGGGAGTGGGTTACATATTTTTCGGGTGCAGGTATTATTGGGCAGTGCAGAGTGTCAGGGTTCAGGGGTTACAAATTGGTGTAAGGGGGCACAATACCTGACAACCCACGCTTATATGATAAGAGTGCATTCAGTATTTTGCCTGAAAATCAATTTTGTTTATATAATGGTGTCATCATGGAAACATTTTTTTATAATGGCACCCAGTGAAATAATAAAAAAAATACCATTTGTGTCATCTGTTAAAAAAAAACGTTTTTTTTTTTTGAGGGGGGGAGGGGGGGGGACTGTTCTTGTCTAGGGTGCAAAATTGGTTAGCACCAGCCCTGAAATGCTCTTGAAAAGTGAACAGATTTGCTATTAGTAAATCAATTGCAACATGTTGCTTTATTCTTGCCCTAACTTATTTAAACTCCTTTATGTATGATTATCTGAAACAATACACAAGTT